ATGTGCCAAAATCATAAAGCAACTCAGTGGGATCAGTTCTCGCTGCCATTGCTATTTCTGGGACTTAAATCACACTACCTAGTGACGTCCAAGTCTTTGTATTTGGCACATTTATTCTCTGGGTAAGAACAAATTATGAACCTGCAGCCTATTCTTTTTTAAAGAGAAAGGAAGGAAAGCATGTTGGGATTAAGACCTGAAAATTGATGTCTTTAATATGCCCAAGACCTTTCCAATTAAATATCATTATCTTCTGGATCATGTTCATCTGCTGTAGAATGGAAGTCCTCCAGGACCAGGCGTTATCTTTTCAGAGGTTGTGTAAAGTGACCCACTCACTTTTATCATTCCTGGTGTACATAACAGACGGTTATTGTTTCTGACAAGAGAAACAGAAAAACAGCAGACTCATCACATGTCCTAAAAGCTTGGTCTGCAAAAGGAATCCCATTATGTACATATTGTAATCCCATTACCATGTACTATAAAGGTATGTATGCTCCTCCTGGGAAAACTCTGCAATGCATTTCTCCAAGTCTAGAAAACAGACTGAGAGTTAAGTCTAATTATATAAAGATTCTTTGCTTTACAAGACAGTTTTTCTAAAGTGTCTCTTTAAATAGCCAAATCCCTTTTTGGAGTATTCAGAATTGGATTTGCTTTGCAAAATGTTTAGACTCAACTTTTCAAGAGCAAAGAGAGTACACAGAAATGGAGCACACTGTATGTCAAGTGTCAACAGTGAGGTCAAACTTAGCGATGACAGTGAAAACAGGGCTCTCCCCATTCCATCTCTGAGCCCATCAAAGTCAGAATGTCCAAATGTGGCAGGTGGCTTTTACAGGGCATTGGGTGCCCTCATTTCAGGCAGGAAAACTAAGCCAGCACCGGGGTCATTGTCCATCATTAACTGTGACTCTGGCAGCCAAGGGCATCAATTCGTGTTCTGAGCAATCATGCATTATTCAGTATGCACTGAATTATTCACTTAAATAGGGATACTTTTTTTTTTTAAAGATTGAAACAATTATGAAGAAAAAGCTGATAACTTTTATTAAAATAAGTGGGAACGGAATTTTTTGAGAAATAATATATTTCTTTCTCCATATGTAAGTCTTGGGCATGGAGAGGAAAAGGAGAAGCTGGAATAGGACTAAATAGGAACACAGGGTCAGTAGGAACTCCCCACCCACAACAAACAACCTTTCCTCCCAATGTCAAACTCCTTTTCTTGCCAAAGCTCCTGCTGGCAAATACAAGTAGATGGGTGGGCATCAATCGTTCCTGCTATCTCTCAATTCTGATGCATAGCAGGACAAAAACAACAATGTGTACTGCATCACTCAATGTAGCAAGGTAAGTATTGTGCAGGCACTGTGCTAGGCTTAAGGCTAAGAAGAACACCAGACCCAGAGGGAAGAATGAAATGCACACTTAATAAGACACCTAAGTGCCTTCTAAGACCCTACAATGTGCTGTTCCAAGCTTGGTTCTCCAGTAGAAAAATGGGAATACTTCATTTTCAACTTTTGGTTTAACATAATGTTAAACCAACAGTTGATTAGTCTTTGTCCATGTTTAGGCAAGCTTATAGGACTCTTTCCGGAAATTCTGTCCATTGTGATGAAAGGCTATTGTTAATAGGACAGCAAAGGCATTGCGAACTTTAACAGCAACAGGGCCAATGAGGGGGTACTTTGTCAGAATTTTCACAGGGCAGTTCATTCCTGCACGCCTCTGGGTGATATTTTCGTTTCCCTGCTGTGTAAGCCTTGTGCGGGCTGTACATACTAGCCAGTGTCTTCATTGTCTGAATATAAGTGTTTCATATACTGAGCGGGTCTTGGACCTGGAGATGAGTGTGTGAGGGAAGAGACATCGGTCAGGAGGAGTGAAAAATAATTTGGAGACTCCATGGAAAGGAAAATGGTTCATTTGGATTATTTGATGTGAAATACATGTTCGGGTTTGTTTTTTAGGTTCCAGCCCTCTCATCTCTCCCAAATACACAGTTTCTGTTCAGAACCAGGCCAGCAGAAGCGAGACTGGGGAGAGGGGCTGTCCTCAACAGCTGAGGGAGAGAAAGGTGACATGGCCCTGAGAAGAGATGATGTCTAGAGTATAAAAATGTCCTGGGACCAAGTGGGGAAGGGTTGAGGGTGAAGAATCAGGCAGCCAGAGAACTGAAGCTTCAACCCTTCCCAGGCACAGGACTGCGGAAGGTGAGTTGCTCACAGGGTGGGTAGGGGTGCGCCTGATAGCCCCTGGGCAGGGGAAAGGCGTGGAACTGGGAACCTGGGTGGCAGAAGCTTGCTCTGCCAGGAGGAGATGTTGGGGTATGAGGGTTGGGTGGGGGCCTGAGGGGTGGCTTGGAGCCCTGGAGGTGGCTGCCTGACGTCACCGGCCTCTCTGGCAATAGGCTGCGAGCTCAGCTCCCCGAAGCGGCAGCAGTATCGGCGGCAGCGCGCCTCGGTCTCTGGCCCCTTCACTCCGTGCCTTC